TATGTCTTATTGTCGTATTGACTCTAAATTACAAGCAGATCTTCAGGAAGTCATTTATGACAAGTGGACGTGAGCTGTTTCCCGTCAAGCGTGGTCCATTTTTTCTGCAACGTCTTAGTTTCTTTTAACTTTGCTCTTTAGCCGAGTCTGACTGCAAATTTATAAAACAGAAAAGAAAGTCTGGTGAAAATAATTTTTTTCAAGTTATATTTTGCAAAAACTGAACAAAAGATTGCTAAGTTTTGATTTTTCAAAAACTTTCCAGCTAGAAATTATAATTTAGAGAAATTCTGATAAATTCAAAACTTTTTTCTGATAAGTCTGTATATAGCATTTAAATATAAATTTATACATTTATTTTTGAGCAGAAGAACAACAGGTTTACAAAAAAAAAATAATTTTCAAACAAACATTTCTTGGAAAATTGCTTTTGCGTTAAAAAGGAAGACGTGTGGCATTTCGTAGTCTAAAACGTGTAAATGGAAAGCAAGTTAATGCTGTGAAAAATGCGCGAAAACGAAGCATTTTTGTGACGCCCACTTTAAGACAACGAGCTAATGAAGTAAGGCTGCTGTATTCATACAGAATCATTTTAGACTCTGCCAGATAAGCTGCGAAGATCATTTTTAGTGCAAACATAAAACACAGAAACGCGAAAAATGAGCGCTGGAGAGTAGAAATTACTGGTTTTCAAGCAAATAAGAAATTATTAAATTATATTAATTGTTAGCACTTCTAAAAACATTTCTCGTCTCAAAATTTGGCGGTTCGACGGGTCCCAAACCATGTCCATAAGTAAGCAAGAAGGGATCTGACCCAACATTGATGGCACCAGATAACGGGTAACGTACCCCAACTCCCCCAGGAGCAAGTGGTACGGGAAAGTCGGTCCCTGAAAGTGATGACACTGTTACGACCTCTAAATATTATCACCGAAGCACGCTCAACACTTTTGAAAATAAGTGAAACAGAAAATAAAATCAGCTGATTAAACAATAGCTCTAAACAAAAAAAAA